CTTCTCTGCACTGTGGATTATTCTATGTGCTGTAAGATGTGCGGTTGTTCTAAAGGCTTTTCCACATTCTTTACATTCATAGGGCCTCTCTCCACCGTGGATTATTGTATGTGTTCTGAGTCTTGAGGCTGTTAGAAAGCCTTTCCCACACTCCTTACATTCATAGGGCCTCTCTCCACTGTGGGTCAGATTGTGTCTCCTGCACTGTGAGGACAGTCTGAAGGCTTTCCCACATTGCTTACATTCATAAGGCTTCTCTCCACTGTGGATTCTTTTATGTGCAGTCAGTTCTGAGGAATACATGAAAGTGCTCCCACACTCATTACATTCATAAGCCCTCTTTGCATTGTGGACCGTTTTATGTCTCGTGAGCCTTGAGGCGTGGCTAAAGGCTTTCCCACATTGATTACATTCATACAGCCTGTCTCCACTGTGAGTTTGTAAATGTTGACTCTGCTGTGATGAATCCCTAAAGGATTTCCCACACTCTTCACATTCAAATGGCCTCTGTGCACTGTGAGTTCCTGTAAGTCCAGGGAGGAGTAACACCTCACCAGAGACTTTGCCACACTCCGTATATTCATGCGGCCTGTCTCCACTTATCTTACATTTATGAGTATTTTTCCCACCATGAGTGTTCACAGGAGTGGTCAAGTGAGAAGGACACCTGCAGTCTTCTCCACAGTCCGGACACTGACAGGTACTGCTTCTAGTGTGAGCTCTACTACGATTGTTCTCTAGGGAATGATCCAGGAAGGCTCCTCCATACTCACAGCATTCAAAAGGATCTACTTCTGTGGGATCTACTCGATGCACAGAAAGACCAGGAATCGGGCTGGAGGTTTCCCCACACTGGTTGTGTTCACAACGTTCACCCAGGTTCTTGATTGCACCAATTCTGTTAAAAACAGGTAGTGTAAATGCAAACCAATGGTGTCCTCTGCAAACTACTCCATTTTCAACAAGGTGAGAAGAAAAAAAAAAATCAGTTATCGTGTTGGAAACAAATGTCGCATGACAGCATTACCGAACACAGTGAACATGCATGTCTTTTTCCTGAATTGTCTCAAGATTCACCTAGGACAATGACTACCACTTCTGTCAATGTGTAAGACTTCCTGTTCATTGTATCCAAGTGAAATATGCTCGAAACATTTCGCTAATACTTACGGAAAACGTTCTTACATGAATTTTCACGGCACTCATCGTTTTACAACCAGGAATATACACATATACATATATACATGGGTCCTGATGAAGGATTAACACTAGACAGCAAGCTAGATTCGAACCACAAAGTAGAACGACTTCATGGCATGGAATAACATCTACTCCTTGGAACGTCAACAAAGGATTGCTAAAAGTCAGAACTGACTCGGCAAACACAACACATATACATCAGTCGGCTTCAGGGATTCAAACCACTTTGGAACGACTCAGCCATTTTCAACATAAATGAGAAAAGTGTCCAGATTGCCTAGCAATCAAAACTGTTGCTTACTAGAATTTGATTTCATGAAGAAACAATTACTGGTACTACATTCAAGGATGTTGAGCAAACCACCAATATGAACGCCTTGCTCTACATACTCCGGCAACACCAAACACCTGCATGGATACCAAGAGTCTTATATCACAGATCGGATATGTTGTAGGACTCTGGAGATCAACAAACATTTAGAGCTGTGCAGCCTGCAACCATATCTGAATGGCACACTACTGACAGTTTCTTAATTGACTCACAATTTAAAAGGAAAGAGATTTGACTGTTGGGAAATGCACATGCGACCTTCGTTTGTCCAGCAATTGCTCAATCAAAATTGTTCACAGAATGATGCAATTGAAAGACGATGGAGTTCTCCATGAACTATTTGGAGCCCCCTCATTTCAGTGTATTTTGATGTTAT